TGGTTGCATCTCCACTGGTGGATTTTTTTTTTTTTTTAAGCTTACCATAGTTGGTTTTACATTGCCCTTGCTTGTACTTTCATTTGTGTGTCTGCTTTGAATTTTGATCATTTCTGACAATATGCAGTCCGAAGGGACTCGCATAGCCTGATTACATACATTGGATATTTTGTTTTCTGCATTGCATTATCATCTAATCAGGTTAAAGTGGTAAAGATTTACTAATGGGAACATTCAGTTGCCCTAGATTTTGTCTTAAATTTATTAAGTTATTTTACTCTAAAAGTTGATCCACTTTCATATCATACAATCTGGGATGTTAAAGGACAAAAATAGCCTGTTACATTCAGCTGACATTCTGAATTATTCTAAACTAGGAGGGATTTTGTTGAAACACACTCAGTAAATCCATGATTCAAACACTCCATTTCTGTTCATATTTATCCATTGCCCATAATGAAAGAAAGGAAAATGTATTCCATGAATTCTGGGATAGTTTAGTGTAAGTGAAATACAAATAACTCATAACTAAACTGAAAATTAAATTTCAGTGAATGTTGACCTGTACTTCCCAACAGCTTCCAAAAACCAGCATGAAAGGACTCACTGCAGTGGAAAATCTTCTCAAAGATAAGATGTGAAAGTACAAGATATTTGATTAGAACTCAGTTGGCCAGCACAATCTCTGCTGTGTCATAAAGTCAGGGAATTCTTGCAATACAATAGTAATTCAGTATCAGCCTCTCGGCAGCTTTTGCCAGCTGGATTGCTTGATGGGAGTTTAAAACCTGACCTCTCCTAATGCTTCCGCCTCGAGGAATGACAGTGCAAAACCCACTGGTGTTCTTGAGGGTATCAGATCCTATGTAGGGGTGGCTTATCTGATATATGGTGCTGTGCGTTACCTTATACTATTTTCCAGCTACACTGTCTTCCACCTAGTTTCCACCTGATCTGCAGTGCCTCACCTATGACGAACAGTCCTTCTTTCCCTCCTCAAAGGAAATCATGCCTTGGTACACGGCCAAATCCCCCTTCCAAGAAGTATACTAAATACTTCTTTGAAATCATCCCCATTACTGGAAACCAGCTCTCTTTTATAGCACAGTAGCAAGCCTGACGCTCAGGCGGCTGCTGCAAATCACCTGATTGCAGAGAAAACCATAGACACTGGCAGAAATGACGTTTGCTCTCCTAAATGCTTGTCCTGAGCACTTTGCCTCCCGAGACACAGTGGTGAGGACTCCCTGTGCAGTTTGCACCCTCCTGTGGTACTGACGGCGAAACGATGCATTAAGTTTAATCCTGTACTTTGAATACAGACAAAACTGCTTAGATTTGCTTATGTATGACCAACGGGCTTCAATGCACAAGCTGTTATATGCATAACTGCTATGCAAATGCAACATTTCCCGCTGACCAACAACAGAGGCTACAGATAGGTCTTTAGGCTAATGAGCAGAAGGATGCATAATCGGAGGCATAGAATAAGGAGCTATAGCATCTGGGCTGTGACCTTATGGGCCTTCAAGCTAAGAAGGGTCAAGACCTGACCCTCGCTAAGTCCCAGAGTAGGCTAAGTAAGGATGTGCCTGATCAATATTTTAGTGGCTATAAAAGACACTTCACTCTCGTAACTCAAAAAAGTGTTGTGTATTATTAACAGTTATGTTTTTCACTTGCATACAGCAATGTGCTTTATAGAAAAATAACAGAAGTGCCTTACATATTTTGATTTTAACACAATATAACCGATGTTTTTTCACATGCTGTCCTAATTGGCCAGGAACCCTTTTCAGGATAGTACAGATGTTCTGCATTATTTTGTATTTTTTAAACTGGTTAATATGGTTGCTGTAATCACAGAATGCTTATTTGGGGCTTACAGCTATGGCATGGAAAACGTGTTTGCTAGAAACAAACAATCCAGTAGGATGAGTGGTAAACATGTTGTGAACAGTGGCTGCACAAAAGGAGAACAATTACAGACTTCTTATCAAAGCTATTAATTTACTCAAGCAAAGCAGTTGTTCAGTACATTATAAACGTCTTTGGAATAGCAAAGTCATGATTCTTAAAAATACTTACGTGCTTAATAGCTCTGTGTACGCATTACTCAGATGTATCTCCATGCTGAATAAAAAAAGAGGACTGCAATTAAGTTAGAAGTTGGCATTTCTTAGATGTCAGTTTGCTAGATTTTGCTATTATGAAAAATTCCTTTCCGAGCTTCCTACCTTGTTCTGAAAATAAGATAACGTGATTCCTGAGGAGTTAGTAAACTAACGTGGGTTTTGTTCATTCATTTTGATACGCATGCATTAAGTAAGGTAGAACGACTACTTAAAAGAGGATAGCTAGTTGTAATATACATAGATGGCAAAGATTGGTCTACCTTTGCCTGCTCAGTTTGATTTCTCAAAAATACAGGAGTGGGGTCCTCTCACATAGCTTATCTTCCAGTATTGTAGCATAGCTGACCAGAAGGACAGTCTCCTTATCCCTAAAATTGACATCTCAATAGAGTATGGAGAATATGTTCAGTTGTGTATATGAAACAATCACTCAACAGTGCTTTTGGTTTCTAAAGGTAGGAGAAACTAGAGGAGTTGTTATTATAAAAAATAAGAATGGGCTATTAAGGCCTCTTCTGAGAAAAGGAAATCCTACTGGATAAAAATTACAGCATACTTTCAAAGATAAATCTGAGACTTGAGCGATCTTTCTTCAAAGCTTCAATAACAACTGCTATTGTACTTTGTCCTTGCATATTCCCAGCTGCTACATAAATAGTAACAAACTGTCACTATAGCACCCTCACAACACCGTGTCTGGGCTCTTTCCATTTTTGTATTATAAACTAGAAACAAAGAAGGTGAAGAAATTGAAAGGCAAAATTGGTCTCCATAGGTCTGCGTGATCCAAAGGTACTAAGGGTTGCTGAGCAGCCAAGAGAAGATACAGGCCCGAAGCAGGATGTTCAGAGCTGGGATTAAAGGGAACACTTTCTCTTTGATGGCAAAAGCTGGAGCTAAGGACAGACCACAAGAAACCTAATCCCTGACTAAGCACATCAGGGGCCTGTTAGCCCCAGCTGGTACAGCAAAGTGCCCTCCATGCCCTGCAGCAAGCGGCGTACTTCCAGCTCCCATCAGGAAGACACCTGTATGTGACCATCCTGCTTTATGAGATCCTACAGAGTTTTAGCTTATTATATAAACTGGCAGCAAAATATTCCCAGCACTAGAACTAATTGTGAAGGCAATAAGAGACATCTCATGTTTCTGTTTTTCCACACTTATCTTGCTCTCTCCACATCACAATACAGTGAACAAGAATTCAGTTAATTGGTTTTTTTTTGTGTTCATTCCCTCCCTCTCTCCCCTTTCAAACTTCACCATGAAGTACTGTAGAAGGAGAAAAGAGGATTGGGATAGACACGAAGAAGGTCTGGAGGAACAACTACTAATAAGAGATCCCCTCTTATTTAGCGGATTATTTAACTGTATGTTATTGGCAGGTTTATGCATCGTGAAGAGTGCATCACATTGTTACTCTGGATTATGCAGATTTGAGTTTTAAAATGGGTAAAATACCCCTCAATGTAATAATGATTCACTTGTCCACCCCATGAGAACTGACAGTAAAAAGGTTCACACAGCAACAATAAATTTTATCAGATCTCAGTAACAGTACAAATTTCCCTTGTAAGTAAAGGTACATTTTAAGCCTTTTGGGGGGGGGGGGGAAGGCTACAAGCCAAGCCTAAAATAATAGCTATTTTAGTACCAAAAAATTTGGAATCTAGGTGGGCTGAATAAGGGCTACCTGCATAACAAAGTTGAGAACCTCTCCAAGTTGAGAACAGCATACCCCTAAAAATTAACATCACACCTGGACCAGCATCAGGTTACACTTTTGCAAGGCTGTCACAGTAGCTCCCATGTGAAATCACAAATCAAATCCATCCTTTTCTAGTCAGGTGCCTGGGAGAAACCACCAGTCTTTCCAATCAGAAAACGCAAAGGAAGAGAAATAGTGCTTTGCCCCCATCGTGTCCTGATAACTCGTGTATAACGTTGTATCCTAAATTCTCAAGGTGGTGTTGCAGGTGGTTACCGTTCACACATCTCCGTTTCCCACTTCGGCCTAAACAGGGAAGCTAGAAACGGCAGCATCCCTATCCCTGCAACTGCATCAGTGCTTATTTCTGCTTCTGGTAGCGCGTTTTTTTTTTTTTTTTTTTTGGGTAGCTTGGGAAATCTGAACGCGGATACAGTCCATAAGCCGAGATCAGCCGTTTGTTTGCCGAAAGTCTTGGCAAAGCGTGACCAAAAAGCCGGCTGTCGTGCCCCGCTACCCAAAGGGGCTGCTCTGAGGAACAGTATTCCCTCCTTCCTTCATTCCTTCCCTCCCCTCTAGCCAAGCCGCGCCGGCCTGTTCTGGGGACAGCGGGACAGGAGGAGGGGGCGCGGGGCTGGGGGTCCCCAGGAGCCCGGCGGGGGGGGGCTGCTTTCGGGCGTGGGTCCCTCCCAGAGACGGATTTACTGACCCACCTCAGCGGCAGATCTTTCTCTTGGCCTGGCGGGGGAGCCAAACGCTATCGATTCGTAGCTCGCAAGGATTGGTGTTTTTTTTTTTTTTTTTTTGGGTTTTTTTTTTTTCGGTTGTTGTCGCTGCCGGGTTTATTGTTGGAGAAGCGGGAGGCTCATTTGCGAGCTGGTTGCCCAGCCGCAGGCCTCAGCTCTCCCCCTACCTCCCTCCAAAATGCATTCCCGCTAAAGACCGCCTTTTTTTCTGGACGATCCCCCCCCCCCCATCCCCCCAAAATTCACAGCAATGGTGAGCGGCGACCCTCTCCCCTCCTTTATCCCGTGAGATGCTTTTCCACGCCACGCGGGGCGGGTACTCGCCGGTGCTCCCCGGAGGCCTCGCGTCCCGAAGCCGCTCCCCACGCACCCACCCACCCGCCTTGTCTGTCTGTCTGTCCCCCGTTGCAGAGCTCCGGCAACGCGTCCTACCGATGCTCCATGTCGTCTTCCGCCGATTTCTCCGACGAGGAAGATTTCAGCCAGAGGTCGGGGACGGTGTCGCCGGCGCCGGGGGACACGCTGCCGTGGAACCTGCCCAAACACGAACGGTCTAAGCGGAAAATCCAGGGCGGCTCCGTGCTGGACCCCGCCGAAAGGGCCGTGCTGCGCATCGCCGGTAAGGCGCGGCCGGGAGGGGGAGATAATGGGTGGGGGGGGGCAGAAGGACCCCCGGCCTGCCCGCCGCCCCTCCGAGTGGTGACTAAGCTCTTTGGCCCTGTTTTCCAGCTGGGTGGATTGATGCGTGGGGAGGGGGAAGTGAGCCGAAATACGCGCAGGTGCGCCCATTAAACTTTGATGCCAAAACGCATGTTTAGCGGCGCGGGGGGGGTCCCGCAGCCGCGGGTATCGGTCTTTTCAGCCGGTGTTTCGGCCGAGGGAAGCATCCCGCCTCCCCGGCTGGAAGCGGCGTCGGGGTCGGCCGCCGCGCAGGGAGAGGCCGCGGTCGATGGCCGCTCCGCGGGGGGAGGCGCCGGTCTTTGTCCGTGGGGGGCGGCGGGGGCCGGGGCTGCGCTCGGGAGGGGACGAGGACCCGGTGTGCCGAAGGCAGCAGCCCGGCGACAAATATCGAAAATACGGCGAAACGTCTGCTTCTTCCCGGCGAGAGCTGGGAAACCGCCTGTAAATGAATCCCAGGAAGATGCGGCGGTCCTCGGTTGCTCCCTGGGAAAAACCTCTGTTCCCCCCCCCCTTTTGCGTGGGCCTCCGCGGGTCCCCCCTCCCGGGACACCATTTCCCAGGGTAACCGCATCTTAACAGCGCTTATGGGGGGGGGGTCGCGGAGAACGCGAAATGGTAGAGGGTGCTCGGCGAGGCCA